CTCACAAAGAAAACGGCGGCCGTTACAACTTATGTCTAAAAATGTATAGTTTCATGCATCGGATAAAACACTTGACTCCAGCTACATGACGCGCATCTGGAAACACTTTCCACAAGTCGAGCTGCCTGAGATTCACAGAATTTACAGAAAATGTTACATTTTTGTGATTTATATCGTTATCGGGACGATAGAATTCTTATATCGGGATATGAGATTTTGGTCATAGCGCACAGCCCTAATTCAGAGACCTACCCCTTGGTTGGCAGACTGACTGAAGTTCTTGGCCAGTGATCCAAACAAAACAACATTGACAGATGAGTTCTGAGATGAGCTGTTCAGCATGGAATCTTCTTCTGGAAAACATCATACGAATGTGTTAAAACTGGAAAGGATAAGGGAAAAGGTAAATTCAAGGGGTCGAGTTGCAGGGGCTGCAGTCTAAGTACAAAAGCCAATAGTCCTTGGCTATGCCCGAAACACCACATTTATGAGGCATTCTAGAGGTGTCCTAATCTCATGATCAAGCCACCTCAACTTGTGATGTGGAGGAGCAGTAGCTCTACTCTGAGCCGCTTACAAATGGGCAAGCTTCTCACCCCAACGCTTAGGTTAGTCCAGACACACTTTGAAAGAAACTTATTTCTACTGCTTCCATCTGCATTGTTTTTATTTTGGTCAATGCCCACAGCTTGTGGGCAAAGGTGACAGTAGTAACACTGATCAACCTGTAAATTCACAGCTTTGCTTTCTGCTCTTCACCAAATTCATATAGTTGCATCAAACCATTTTTCAATCTTCTGTTCCACTCTTCCTCTACACATGAACATGAAGCTGAGATAATGTATGTGGACTCCTCCGCCTGAGGCAGAAACTTTGAAACCCTAAGTGAGCAAATCCACTCTTTTCCAAATGACAACACTGAACTCAGGCCCAGTGAAAGATGAAGGACATGGGTCTCATGTTAAAATTCAGTTGATAGTTTATATTATGTACAGCAACTATAGCTAGAGCTACACTATTAGGCTACTTGAATTACTAGTTATAACTAACACTGGGAAACTATTGCCTAAAGAGGATATACTAGTTCTCTTTGGTGTGTGCGATAATAAACTAAATTTCTTCGTATTCTGAATCGACTGCTGGACAACACAAGAAATCTGTTTAGTCAGATGTAATTAAACAGTGTCTTACTTAAAAAAAATTATAAAATGAAAAAAGTAAAATAAAACGCAAACACCTATATACAATGTCGAGTGCAAAAGTCTCTCTAAACTAAACTAAATTTTGACATGATAACCAACCACCACATTATCATAAACACACGGAGGGTAATGGGAACAGTAAGTAAAGGCATGACAAAACACACACATATTTGAATTTATTGACGAACAGCTGATACTTGTTTAAACATTACCTTGGATGACCATCTTCAGGATAAAACTGTCATTGTTCAATGGCACTAGCGGCCCCTTGTGAACCACTTCCCCCTGTAAATTGAAAAAAAATCCTGATGTGAAAATGAACTCAAAAGCATTTTGCTGTGACTGACGTTCTGCAAAATTTCCTGTCAATATATCAAAGCCAAATCTGAAAACCAAGCAATGTTAATAAGACCTTAAGAAATGGGCCAGAGGACAAAAGGTGATTGTGCTTATATCACTGCTGTGCTCTAAATCATGAAAAGATGGGAACTGGAAGCTAAAAAGTGAGAAAAATGCACTGTGAACTTGTCACCTTATCTATATACATTTCAGGTCTTATTTGCTTTAATTCTAATGATTCCAAATTATTGCTCATTATAGTTGACTGTTAGCAGAGTGCTATATCAAAGCATTTTGATTGAAACATGCCTGGAAGAGAAGTGTGTGCTAGGAAAACGTGAAAAGGCAACAGAGATGATTTCAGTCTTGACAGGGTTGTCAAGAAAAGTCAATTCAAGAAACTAGGAAGCTTCATAAGTAGTGGACCGAGGCTGGTGTCAGTGCATCATGAACCACCATGTACAGAAAGGGGCTTCTTCAGGAAAGGAGCTACCACTGTTGCATTCCTAATATCAAGTATCTTTGTAGATTTTGTTTCTAAATCAAGGTCCTGGAGTCTGGGTGAAGATTGAAGAGGTACAATTTACTTTTATCTGAAAAGCCTTTGAACCACTGAGCAACAGTCTATTTTCTCATCTTAGAGTCCAAGGTGTTTGAAGTTCAGTGTCAAAATTCCACAGTCTGTGATGATTTGAGCTTTATAGAAATGCCAACTTCATTTTCCAGCAAGACTTGGTGCCTGCCCACAGTGCCAAAACTTGTACCATATCTACCATGTTGTTACCCTGACTGGTCAGCCAGCTTGCATGACCTGAACCCCACAGGGCCTCTATGGAGTACTGTCAAGAGGAAGATGAGTAAATGTCAACTTCAAAATAAAGAAGAGCTAAAGGCCATTATCAAAGCAACATGGCCTTTAGTAACATCTCAGCTGTGCCACAAGGTAATGGCACACCACACTGAGGTAGACATTTGTGGAAAAGGAGTCCCAACCAAGTAGCAAGTATATAAATGAACATACAGACAGAGTTTTAGGGTCACAATTTAAAAAAGAACAAAAAAACAAAAACATTGTCATTGATGGGGGTTTTTTTTCCATTTCTTTTTTCTCACCTGTCGCGTTTGGTTCTTTTGCCATCAGAATTATTATCTAAAGGCAAAGAAAGATGGCCAACGGATTTACTTTACCAAATGGACCATCCCAACCTTGCCGTAATGGTCTATTTGATTCACCTTTGCTTTTATTGTTTATTTTATTTTATTTTCACTTGCTAAACACGGGACAGATTTGACTGGGGAAAAGAAAAGGGAGAAAGAAAAAGGGAAAGAAAAACAGCGGGGAAGTGTCATTGATCATTTTGAGATTAAAGTTGAAATGCTATTGAGAAAAAAGGGAAAATGTAGAGATTACAGCTGTTCTTCCAACATAAACCGCCACGGTTACATTCTCTGAGTTAATCTTACTTCAGAACCAGTTTTAGTAACAAGGAAGGAAATGATTTCTCTTTTAGCACACAAACATATTGTGGTGATCAATATATGGACGTTGATAAAAAGGTTTAAAAAGCTGCGCC